GGGGGACGGAGGAGCGGGGACTTGGGGGGCAGAGGGGAGGAAGATGCGTCCTGTGGGGCCGGGGATGAAGGCGCTTCAGAGTCTGAGATAGAGGAAGCACAACCTTGTGAGTACCCTGAAACGTTAAAGTGATTTTTAGAATATATGAATTATATCTAAATTAAAAACTTGATTTAGGGGGGCTTGAGTGGCTCAATCCGTTAAGCCTCTGACTCAGGTCATGGTCTCAGGGTGGTGGGATGGAGCCCTGGGTTGACGGAGGCTGCTTGGGACTCATTCTCTTGCTCTCTGTCTCTGAAAATAAATAAATAAACATTTTAAGTTGATTTAGGCGGGAATCATCAAAAAAATACTAAGCTGAGAAAGTAAAGGTGTGATGTGGAATCTAATATTTAGGTAGTCTCAAAATAATTGCCCACAAGTTACATGTTCATCGCAAAGATAAAAAAGAAGTTTACAATAGAGGAATTTGGTGGCCACTACCGTATCCAAATCATCAATATTAATATCAGGAGTTATGGGAGGAATGGACATCGTGTACCTCCTGAGGATGTGACACAACATAACATTCCTGCAAAAAAGAAAAAAAAGGCATAACCTTTATTTGAGGTAGGCAAATCTGGATAATTGATCAGTGCTCTGTAAAAACAGTATTGTCATCAAAGACAAAGACTAAGGATTTGTGCCAGATTAAAAGGGACTAAGGAGATAAAATAACTAAATTAACGGGTGATCCTGGATTAGGAAAAATAGCTCTAAAGAACATTATTGTGACAGTTGGCAAAATTTGAATATGGGCTATGTATTAGATAATGTAATCATATTTCATTTTTTGATTTGGATAATTGTGATCTCGTAAGAAAATGTTCTTCTTAGGAAATACACATTGAAGTTTTAGGGGTAGAGGGCCATATCTCAACTTGCTCTCAAATGGTTCAATAGATAGAGGAGATTAACAAAGCAAATACCATAAATGTTAACAAGTGGCGAATCTGGATGAAGAGTTTACAAGAGTTCCTTCTACTGTCTTGCAATTATTCCAAAATAAAAAAAAATTAAAAGTTGTGTGTGTGTGTGAAAATTAATAAAGGGAAACATCCCTAAAGCAGATTCTGGATGCAGAAGGGGAGCCTGGAAGGGGGAGCTGTACCGCTCAAGGTCAATCACAGGAAGAACTGTCAATTACAGACCCAACAGGAAAGCATCCTGAATTCCAGGCCCCATGGGGAAGATGTGTGGGCATCTCCTCCGAGAA